AGCTATGTTAGCATAACATTAGCACAGTGAAGCTGAAGGATGAACGCCAACTTTTTTTCCACTCGATAAAAGTTAACGTGAGGGATTCTGGTGGTTTGGGACAAATGCAATCGCATAGCAGGATGGGCCAAACTTCAGTCAGGAGAACAACTGAGATTATTCATCCACAATACGAGGTTAGTTATTAATATACTGCAACAACATGGGAATAGAACAGCTGCGAGAGAATTCAACATTAATGAATCAATGTTACGGAAGTGGAGGAAGCGCAGTTTTTGGCTTTCCCCATATTTCAAAAGTGCTTCATCTCTTTGCTATGACTGTCGCCCGCTATAATTTGCAAATGATAATGGTTTTAGCCGCTGCGATGCTTTCGACCAAAACAGGCGCAGCTTGATGACATCATCAACATGCGCTATCGCGATAGAGCGATATAGTCAAAATCTCTATCGTTGGCCAAATTTATATAGTTTCTATCGTATATCGTTTATATCGCCCACCCCTACTTGGACACATAACCAAAACACATACACATATTTGAAGCTACTGGTGCCCCTGGAGCCCTGCGAGCATCAAGGTGTAGGATTCTCCAGAGACTTGCAGTTGTGCATAAACCACCCCTAACCAATGCTCACAAAAGCTGCAGTGGGCCGAGAACTACATGAAGACTAATTTTAAACAGTCTTGTTCAGTGATGAGTGCAGTGCAACCCTGGATGGTCCAGATGGATGCAGTGGTGGATGGTTGGTGGATGGTCACCATGTCCCAACAAGGCTGCGACGTCAGCAAGGAGGTGGTGGAGTCTAGTTTTGGGCTGGAATCACGGGAAGAGAGCTGGTCGGCCCCTTTAGGGTCCCTGAAGGTGTGAAAAGGACCTCTGCAAAGTATGTGGAGTTTCTGACTGACCACTTTCTTACATGATAGAAAAAGAAGAACTGTGCTTTCCGCAACAAAATCACCTTCATGCAAGACAGTGTAAAATCTCATGCTGCAAGGAATACCTCTGCATCATTGGCTGCTATCAGCATAAAAGGAGAGACACTCATGGTGTGGCCCTCATCCTCCCCTGACCCCAGTCCTATTGAGAACCTTTGGAGCATCCTCAAGCAAAAGGTCTATGAGGGTGGGAGGCAGTTCACATCCAAACAACAGCTCTGGGAGGATATTCTGACATCCTGCAAAGACATTCAAGTAGAAACTTTCCAAAAACTTACAAGTTCCATGGATGCAAGAATTGTGAAACTGCTATCAATTAAGGGGTCCTATGTTAATATGTAACTTGGCCTGTTAAGATGCTTTTGATTGAAATGGCTTTTGATTTCACTAAAATTGATCTACTAATGCTGCAAATTCTACAAATGGCCATTTTCAATTCTCTACAACCTATAAAATGTTTTGACACTCTGTGTTCGTAATAATTTGGAACAGTGCATTTTAAGTTTTTTATTTTTGAAAAACATACTGTTTTCATTGGAAGGTTTGTTCAGTAACATTTGACTTATACTCTAATGGTTGATGACTTGAAAATTATGTTGACTGTCATTTGAATTGACTATTTAGGAAAATCAGAGAAAAATATCATTTGCATAATAATGTGGAACGCAGTGTAGTTCCAGATGAAGCAACAGTAAAAAATTTGCGAAAAACGTTGAAAATGTTTCTAGGACATTGGTCTACAAATGACACATCATGGGGTCGGGATGAATGTGAACAGGTGCAGTAGAGGTAGACACAGGTGTAGGAGTGGTACTCTCCCAGCGGTCCAGGCCACATTCAAAGCTGCAACCCTGTGCCTTCTTCTCACGTCGTTTCATTCTGGCAGAACAAAATTATGATGTAGGCGACCGTAAATAATTTGCAAATAAGTTGGTATTTGAGGAGTGGTGTCACCTACTAGAGGGAGCCGAGCAGCCTTTTCTTAGACGGACAGACCATAGGAATATTACTTACCTGAGGACCACAAAACAACTAAATGCCCGCCAGGTTTGATGGTCACTGTGTTTTTGTAGGTTTTAACTTTTTCCATCTCATACTGTCCAGGTTCTCTGAATATCAAGCCGGATACTCTCTCCCGCCAATTCGCCAAAAACACAGATCACTCACAAGGGGAGACCATCTTACCCACCACCTGCAGGGAGGGTTTAATTTCCTGGGATGCGGAGAAGACAATTCGCCAGGCCCTCCAGGATGAACCTGATCCTGGCACTGGTTCACCTGACTGCTGTTTTGTCCCCTCCTCACACCATTCCACAGTAATCAACTGGATCAACACTGCTAAGTTCGCCTGTCACCCCGGCGTAGGTAGGACCATTTCATTATTAAAATGGTACTTCTGGTGGGAGACCCTGGAAAGGGATGCCCTTTGTTATTTCTTTTAGTGTTATTTGAGTTACTACATTATATGTGTAGTATGACGATGTCTAAGCTGAAAAAGGAATGGGGGAGAAAATTGGAAAAAATATAGCATGTGGCGGCTTGTACCATCTGTGCTAGGAGTAAGAACAGAACTCAACGACCGGCAGGATTCCTTCAACTTTTAACTATTCCCCATTGCCCCTGGTCTCACATAGCCATAGATTTTGTCACTGGTTTACCTGTCTCTTCTGGGAACTGTCATTTTGTCCATATTCGACAGGTTTTCAAAGGCTGCTCATTTCGTCTCCCTGGACAAACTCCCTTCAGACTACTAAGCTCCTGGTTAACCATGTCTTCAGGCTTCATGGCATCCCTTTGGAGATTGTTTCGGAACGGGGACCACAGTTCTCCTCCCATGTCTGGAAGGCCTTCTGCACTGCTCTGGGAGCCAAGGTCAGTCTCAGTTCTGGATACCATCCACAGTCCAACGGCCAGATAGAGAGGCTCAACCAGGAGCTGGAGTCTAACCTCCACTGCCTAACCACTTACATCTCAGCGACATGGTCCTCTCATCTACCTTGGATAGAGTATGCACACAACACCCTCATATCTTCTGCAACTGGCTTGTCCCCCTTTGAAGTCTCCCTAGGATATCAGCCACCCCTATTTCCTGAGGAAGAGGCTGACCTCGCCGTTCCCTCAGTCCAGCACCATCTCCAGCATTGCCACCGCGCCTGGGCTCAGACTCGGAAGGCGTTACTCAAAGCCACCAATCATCAATGCCACTACGCCAATCGGCTAACAGGTATACTCCAAGGCAGCTAAGGATATTCCTCTGAAGGCACTCTCTCGCAAGCTTGCTCCCCACTACATCGGTCCTTACGAGGTTAAGTCCATAATCAGTCAATCAGCTGTCAAGCTTAAACTTCCTGCTAC